CCTCCGCAGCCGGGCTGGGCTAGTTATGGCAGCTCCCCCGCCCTGGCAGCTCCAAGGAGTCGGCCGGCCGCCTTCCCTTGGCGTTAGGAAGCACGGCGGGCTGGTGGGTGGGGAACCCGGGCCGGGTTTGACAGTGGGGCCGAATGGAAAGCACTTGGGGCACGTTGTGAAGAGCTTAGAGGCTGGGGGGAACATTGCTGCCCCCAATCCCAGCGGCCTTTCCAAGGTTAGAATCCGGGGAAAACACACGGCCCTTAAGTCGGCCGGCCGCCTTCCCTTGGCGTTAGGAAGCACGGCGGGCTGGTGGGTGGGGAACCCGGGCCGGGTTTGACAGTGGGGCCGAATGGAAAGCACTTGGGGCACGTTGTGAAGAGCTTAGAGGCTGGGGGGAACATTGCTGCCCCCAATCCCAGCGGCCTTTCCAAGGTTAGAATCCGGGGAAAACACACGGCCCTTAAGGCCAAAGTCCAGCCCTGTCCCCAGGACACCTTCTAGCACCAGGCTGTAGTGGCCACACCAAGCAGCCTTGACCTCTAGTATCTGCACTGGGCAGAGGCAGCCAGTGCAATCGCTGCTTCTGCCATCAGTAGCAGAGCCTTGGTCATGTCCCCCAGCCTGGCTGGTGCTGCCCCAGGAGGCCAGCAAGAGCCCTGGCCTGGCAGCATTCCACCGGGGGGACTGAGGGGCAAAGGGTCCCAGCATGCTCTCTTAGCTGCCACGCAGGAGCAGCCGGAAGGGGCAGGCTGGGGGCTGATGGCTAGGGTGTCACGCTGCTGGACGTGGCCTCGGGTCCCCATTCAGCACCAGGGAACACTGCAGGGACGTCGCTCTCCTGCGGTGCTGAGCTGCCTTTACACTGCGAGAACCGGGGTGGGGTGGGGGAATCCTGACTGCAGCCCATTCTGTGGGGCACGCCCCCTTGGGCTGTGGGGCAGGGAACGTGCTAGCTTAGTAACCAGGGCTTGATTATTCATTAGGCACAATGGGCACCGTGTCTAGGGCCTATGAAAAAGATCTGGGCCTACAAAAAATGCAGGGCTTACAAAAATTCATCATTGGCTTAAAATAAGAAAAGAAAACTGGTAAATCAAAGGTAATAGTTTGCTATCTCGAGTCAGCAAATAGTTACCTATTGGGCGTACAGGCGACAGGGCTTTTCTCCCTGATATGTTTACAGATCATCGAATTGAAAGGCCTGCGATGAGGAGAGAGCCTGAGGCTTGCGGAGACTTTCATTTAATCTG